ATTCTGGAGATCTGGGAGTTTGTCTGGATCTCCATTTTTGTTGCCTCTTCGACGTGCACCCAGGCAGCCTCATGGGGGGAAAAAAGAGAATCCTGTGTGTTCCTTGGTTTTCTTGTCCTCACAAAGAGGGGACTGGCAAGTCACACCTCTGTGGGAGCCCCCCCCCAATTTCAAAAGTGAATTTCAGGCACTGGCCTTACTCTTTTGGACAGGTTATAAGAAAGGTAGAGCCCAAATATGGCCAAGCTAGAGCCAAGGCAAAATGTTTGTCTGGACTGAATTTTCTGAACATCAGGCTGTTACGCTCTACCTCCTCCTACTTCTGTACTCACCCAGCGACTAAGCAAACATCACTTTGTTTTAAAATACAAGGTTTATCAAAAAGGAAAGTGTTTTTTAATGTTATGGTGATAAAATGTATGTTGCTAAAGACAGAGCAATCCTCAAAGTAAATCTCACACATGCACCAAAAGACTCAAGACTGTGATGAGCAACCCATAAACCCAAAACGTACAGTTAGAGCTCCCATTAAATAATTAAATACAGCCTACATCAAGTCAGAGTTCCTTGTGCAATTATTTATTTGCTGCAAATGGCCTTATTCCCCCTGCATTGACCTGATACAATTTTATTTAACTTTAATCATTTCAATGAAGCATTGTGAATGAACATAACTTTATTCTGTAGCTGCATTCTCTGAGTTGCATTCTCAGAGAAAATTAAAAATCCTCTTGAAATAAAGATTACCTGGAGGTAGAGCACTGATAAAGAAAGAAGAGAAAGAGGAATTACATGAAAGCAGGGAGACTGAGGAGGTCTGCTGCAGAGAGACAATTGCAAGTGTTTCGGTCTTGTCAGAAGTGATCAATGTCTGTGAGTTAGCACGGAAAGGCATAGAGGGAAAGCTGGAGCTCTATTGTCTAGACTGGTGACTGACATCTCAGGTCTCTTGCCTATGCAGTGGTCTGAGTGCCAGCCAATCGTAAGAGTTGTAAATAAGATTAAATTTACTGCAACACTAGGGACAGATGGCCCTGCCTGTCCTCTGGAAAAGCAGGCATGGGTGCTAGAAGAGATATATCAGGGAATATGAACGAAAGAAAAGGCATACTGCAAGGGATTTTTTTTTTCTCTAACTCCTACAGTTAAGCTCCTTGGGCAGCTGTTCATGCAAAAGAGGTCAAGTTAGAAAAGGTTGCAACTCCACAGTCTAACCACAGTGTAAAATGTCAAGCTTGAGTAGAATGAAGGCTGATTAGAATAATAACAGTGTTGGTATTATGCTCAGTGTGGGAGGCCTTGTCTCTCCTCATACTCTGAATTTGCAACAAACCATAGCACATCGGAAACCCACTGGGGTTACAGCAAGATAACAGTTTACTCCAACTTATGCCTGCTGGGCAATATAACAAACCCAGGCAGGCTTACACAATACAAGGTGACTCTGAAGCAAGGTAATGAGATACTTAGATATACTTCCGGCGCTGTAGGAGATGTCAGCCTCTCTAGTAGCTCTCTAGTTTCTGCTCTTTGTTCGCTCTTCTTTAATTTTTTTCATCTCTTTTGTACCTTTTACTCTACTGTTTTTTAACTGTGGGACAATTTTATCTTTTTATTGAACATGCAACACGGAACTGGTTTCCTTACGGACAAGGGGTATCCACGGCTAATGAAAATCTGTGCTACTGAACTGGGGGAACCACTACAATTGGTCTTCAACCTTAGCGTGCAGCCAGGGAAAGTGCCTACCCTATGGAAGACATCCCGCATCACACCGGTTCCTAAAAAGACCCGGCCCAGTGAGGCGAATGATTTCCGGCAATGGAGTGGATCTTGAAGACAATGGAGTGGATCTTGAAGACAATGGAGTGGATCTTCCTCAGCCTCCTCAGACCTCAAGTATAACATGCTCTGGACCGCCTGCAGTTAAAATATTAGCCAGGTGTAGGAGTAGAGGACCCTATCCTCCACCTAGTCTACTCCCACCTGGATAAGGGAAGTACCACAGCAAGGATTTGATTCCTGGACTTCAAAAGGTTTCAACCCAGCTTCTCTTGGTAAGTTTGCCTCCTTCACGCGACTCAGCCTGTCAATCACCTGTACTACAAATGTGACAACAGTCCCTGTCACCTCAAAACGTAGCTTTGGCGCGCCCAGAGCTCTCCTATACTTCTCTGTTGCAGAGGAGCTACTGAACATGTACAACTTTTTACGACAGTCAATGAGCAAACATTTTTGCACCCAAGAGCAGAAATACGTCACCAATCCAACATAAAATTAAATTTCGCTTTACTCATCATTAAAGATTAAATATATTTTTGCATATCTAAAAAAAATTTCAATATATTTTTAAATATTTTAATTTTATAATTTAATTTTAATTTTCAGTTTCTTTTATATGCCTAAGTTAAGATTATTGGGCTGGTGGGGGGGGGCACCCTAGTGCCCTCTATTTTCTAGGCGCCACTGGTTATAGTTACTTGGCAAATTCCATTACAGGGAAGTTTATTCTCAATTATTTCAATGCGTCTTAAAGGCTTCAAACCCAAAATGATCCTCATGTATATATCTAGTGACAAAAACCTGTGGAGCATAACTTCTAGCACCCTCAAAGGTATTTAAAACTTGGTAATCTTTTCACATTCTGTATTATTACAATTTTAATTCCCAATCTGTATAATTTATGGGATACATCAGTTGAAAGTAATGCTGAATAATAAACTTAAATGAAAATGTTTTAGAAATTCATTCACTAATAAAAAGCCCCTTATGCTGCAGTTCTGGGTGGATGTGATCTTTAGGGCTAACTAACATTTAATTGAAAGCATGAGTGAACATTAATTTTAAGGTTTAGCCTATGATTCTCTCTAGGAGATAGGTTTCAACTTAAATTTGACATTCTAACAGATGGATAATTTATTGGGGGACAAATGTTGCCTTTCAAAATGAATATCTGCAGATTTTTGTCCCCTTGGAAAGACTCCTAACTTATTTGTGAATGTAACTAGATGAATGTGGTTATGGTTTGAAGCACTAATCATTATAAAGTCAGTCTATTTTGTCCAGCTGTGATATAAATCTGTCTGTTTAAATTGTCTGTTTAATGTTGGGATTCTGCTGGAGTAATAAATGTCTCATCTAGGTTTTCTTAAAGCGTTACATGATGACAGCTGTATCTACAGATCTACTCTGATGAGCTTTTCACTCCCATAGTAAGAAACCACATGTTTCACTGTGAGAGTGGGATTTCAAGGGTGACATGCGGGTTATCGTTTTCAAAACCACATATCTCTTAGCCAGTAAGGCAAAAAGTAGGATTTTCTGCAAAATGTGTGATATTTGAAAAATTGAAGTGCTATCAATGTTATAGCAATGTACAGTTAATAAAAATAAACCTAGCCATTGAGTCTGCAAGATCCATTGACTAGAAAGGGGTGTTTTGTTCTCGGTGTCCAGAGATAGCGTTTTTTTTACGGTACATGTGAAGGGCTGAATTTAACTATTTAAAGGGATCCCACAACATGACTCATTTGGACTGTGCTGTTATAAAGGCCATCTGGTTCAATGGTACTGAACTTTTGTTTTTATAGAAAGATGGTTTTACTTCAAAATCGTAGTAGAAACTCGATGTATAAATCCCCATGGTTCAGGTGAATGTGTCTTTTAGGCCGTAGGTCTTCAACATGGGGTCCGCCACCCCTAAGGTGTCAACGGAAGTACTGAATGGGGGTCGCGAAAGTCTTTTTTATATTCCCCCCTGCAATTTATTCAACTAATTGAAATGTCTGCAAATACATATTATTATGAATTCAACACACTGTAGTAAACAGATAAATGGAGGGAGAGGATGTCTTTCAGTAATCAATGCACACATTCAGTGACACACAGGAGCTCTTTCAAGCTGGGCACCGTTTCATTCACAACACCTGACCCATCAATGAGGAATTAAAATCAGAAATACTTTAATAATGTCACAGTCTTGGTTCTGTTATGTTTTCTTTTGAATATTCAGTTTTACTTTGCTCCATGTGTTATTGGTTTGATTCCTATTTTGTTGTGTTTTCTGGTTATATTTCAGCTCTGAGGTCTTTATTTGTTGCCCTCTTGTGTTGGTCTCCTTTTCCCTAGCTCCTTTCTAGACTCCTCTCTTCACACCTGCTCCCAATCAGCTCGTTAGTCCTCTCTTTGTTCAGTTAGCCTTAAATACTCTCCTTGTTCAGTTCCTCAGAGCCGATTCCTCGTCAAACTTCGTCTAACTCGAGATAACTCGTCTTACTTCATGATTGTTTTCCCCTGATGTCACCATGGTTCTGGTTTGTTTAACTTTTTTCATGTTGGATTTTTGGTATCCCGCCTCGGTTACCTGTGTTTATTTCATTAAATCTACAAAATCTCACCTCTGCCTCCCCTGCCTCTGCATTTGGGTCCTCTAACCTCAACCAAACCATGACAAATAATCCCAGGATGAAATTACTTTCGTTATATTACTCCATCTGTAATAGAGTGACTATAGGACCGGTTTGATATAAAACAATTTAATAAAATATATGTAATTAGGGGGTCCCCGCTCCATCTTGCCATCAGTTTGTTGGTCCTTAGCCTGGAAAACGTTGAAACCTCCTGTTTTAGGCAATGAGCTTGTGAACGAGGCGCTGTTCGTGGTACTGAAATGCCTTCCACGGTAACGCAGCTGAAAGGTCACACCTAATCCATGGGAATCCATGAAGCGCTTTGAGTGCTTTCTGATTTAACCCAATTGTTAAGACAAGACATAACTTGACAAACTTTATTTGATCTACATAAATAGCATACGGAGCTTAACGGCCAAAGGGATTGACGTTGGAGCTGCAGTACGGGCTGCCTTCTCCTGTCGGCACAGTGTAGGAGCCGTGACGCGTTTACATCACCAATGTAAATGAGCCTCAGCTCCTCTTCCTCCTCCTACTCTTCCTCCATCAGCCCCTCTCTCTCTCTCAAACACACAGACACACGCACACACTGCCGCCGCAGCCTTTTCAGGGCGGCAGAAAGCAGCGCTGGTCCGTCCACACTTAGAGTTCCCGTGTTTATGTGTGACTTAGACATCTTACATAACAGCAACTGTGATAAATACTAAAAAAAAAAAGCCCATCAGTCGTTCACATGCAGGACAGCAAGCCTTGCAAAGAGCTACCGGAGACACTGAGGCTGCCGCTGCTGAAGGTAAGCCGAGCAGCTGAATAGCCTCTTTAATGGTGGAGGCGCTTTGAAAGGGGGGTTTAAGATGGAAGACCTCGGCTTCTTTAACGCTTCATGCGTCTTCGCTTCATCAGGCGATGCGTTTGTTTGCGGCGCGTTTCGTCAGATCTTAATCAGAATCAACGCGTTTGGTTTCGGAGATGACTTCGGCCTGTTTGATTGGCGATTAAAACAGGAGTTAAAGGTAACTTAGATATCCGGACTCTATCAGGGTACAAACTGTTGCTTCGGTAGAGGCTGGTGCATCCAGGCGCAGCGCCGCTGCTGCTGCCGGAGGAGCTCCGCTTAGGAAAAGTGGATGTGAAGGACATAACGACGTGTGACGGCCACCAGCCCGATCAGCGGGTGTTCACCTCCCTGCTCCTCTCCTCTCGGTGTCAGCCTGCATGAAATCACTAGTTCTGATGGAGCCTCATCCGTTCAGGGTGCTTTTGTTGCCCATCGCTCTTCTATCCATCGCTGCTGGGATGAGAGTTGATCTGCTGGCGTCTGTGATAATCCTCCTTTCATAAGCGCCCATAATGCTCACAGCTTTGATCCCTGCAGGGTGTTTTTCTCTCCCTCTGATGACCAGGATTCAGGCTGTTTGCGGATCATCACGCATATTATTCTCGCACGGCATCACCTCATATTGACATGTGTCACAAAGGAAACACAAAGCAGGTCAAGTTGAAAGGCTTTCACTGGACCTCACCTCATAGAAGCAGCAGAAATCCTGGTTTCACCTTTTTTTTTATTATTATTATTGTTTCATGAACAAATAGCTAATCCAGGATCATTCTGATGTTTATTTGTTGAGATATAACATTGTGAATAATAAACCCCCCTAATTTGCTACCAAAACAGCAGCCTAATGTGGTGCCACATAGACAGAGGTGTCAAGTAACGAAGTACAAATACTACCTTGCCGTACTTAAGTACAGTTTTTAGGTATCTATACTTTACTCCATTACTTATTTTTCGTCCTATTTCTGACTTCAACTCATTACATTTTCACACAAGTATCTGTATTTCTATTCCTTACATTTTTAAAAGAAACGTTACTCGTTACTCTTGGCTTCAGTTTAATGTTTATAAATATTTATTTCACATCATGTGCGCCATCCAATGCAGATCATTGGTGCCATCCACATCTAGTGAAAACTAGTGTAACTGGATGAGTCATATAAGGCAAACACTCATTGGTTAGCTAAAGGAAATAATCTGAAACAAGCAGGTGTTCTTCAAACTGTAAACGTGAATTGTCTCTGCCATGCTACAATGTAGGATTCAGAAAAAGATGTTGAAATGCTTGGCTAGAGCGTATCGGGAGTTGGAGACTAACAAGACCGCCCTCATCCTTGGCCCTACCTCAAAAAATTCGAAATAGTCGAAAAACTGAGCTTTCTATTCATATGGCGGTGTCTGGCTGTTTTTTTTTTTTAAGTCACTCCATACTTTTATGCTTTAAGTAGTTTTTGCAGCACATACTTTTTCACTTTAACTTGAGTAAAGAGGTCAAATTGATGCTTCAACTTTTACCAGAGTGTTTTTAAACTGCAGTATCTATACTTCTACTTAACTTAAGTAACAAATGTGAATACTTTTGACACCACTGCACATAGAGCACAGTGACTGACACTACACTCTATGGCACAAATGTTTTTAAGAGTGGTTCCTGCAGAACAGCTGAACATAAAGGTCAGCCCCCAAACCAAGTGGGCTTTTACTGCCTTAAAACAGCTCTAATCATGAAAACGCTACAGATTTATACAAATGCCATGTTATGATCCGTTAATGTTCATATGATCCTTTCATAAGCTCACAAGAAAGAAAGCTGTGTCCTAGGATGCCCTTATGAATCAGGCAGGGGGAGGCCAAAAAAACAGTGGAAAAAAACATCACAGTTGGATTATATCTCCAACCACATGTAGCTGTTGCTGAACTGCAGAGCTGCAACTTCAGTGCCTAAAGGGGCATTATCACAGCTCCGCTCTGCTAGACTTTATAACCATCACTGCTCCTAACATTCTCAATAAGGCTTATAGATCCCTGCAGGTTTTTAAAGCTTTTCAGAAAGACTTTTTTACATTTTTTTATACAGAATTATAAAAACATTTGGTAAATGAAGGCTCACAGTTTTTAATTGCATTTAACCTGAGTATGCCATTTGATAACTCGAAAATATATTTGGAATAAAAGGATTCCTCTATTCCATGAGACTCACCATTGCAGACAAGGAACCCCCAATAGTACTTTGGTTTTGAACACTTTCCTGACCTACACATTATAACATTTTACAGCTTGTTGATATTCTTTTAAACTAACTACTAAAGAGTTAGGTAGTCTTAATCACTTTACCTGTTAATGTTCATAATGTTATCCCTCATTGGCATGTATATATTATTTTCCCTTAGGTTTTCCTTTTATTATATGTTTTTAGGATTTTAGGATCGTCAACCTAATTTGTATCTTTTTTTTCTATATCTTTCAGGATCTTTATGGATCACCCTTTTTTCCTACTGATCCCTTTATTCCACTGCTGCTGTTGTTGGCAGAAGCATGGACCAATATAGCTACAGGTGCTGCAATGTTCTTTTAAACTTCGGAGCCTTCTACATATCTTCAAAGTCACAATTAATTTAATGACCTTTCATTGAAGTGAGAGGCAGTATACTGCAGATATGGTGGTTCCCCTCAGCAAGCTTCACTGCCTCTTGAAGAGAGCTCAGATGGTGCTACTCTGCCTGGGCATCGCCTATCTGATGGCAGGCAGCATCCTGCTCTTGCAGCGCTCCACCATCAGGGCGCCTCAGCCAAACCTCCCCAGCCTGCCGCCCCTGCTATCTCTTGTCGCACCTCCTCCTGCCCTCGGTAGGGCAGGCATGGGTATGAGAGCACGTTCCAGATGGGCCGCCGTTCAGACCATATCTGGCGGAGGAGCCAAAGCATCTCAAAGCTGGCCAAGTTCCCGCAGCCTGAGGGTCCAGCATTTACACCGCCGCTGGTTTCACAGCCTACTGCCAGAGAGTCCAGAGCAGAAAGTCTCTCAGCACAGGAACAGCAGACACAAAGGTAAGGATATACTGCAAGCTGAGAGAGTTCGGCTTAAAACATGTCTTGTTGCAACTTCTGTGAAAATATTTGAAATGGAAACTTTAAATTGTCACTGTTTTTTTTTTAAGAGTTACCTCCCAATTCAGCAAATTTTACACCACTTTAGGGACATTCAAGATTAAAGATTTCTTTAATTGTCACCCAGCCTGCAGCGGCACTCCAGTAGGGTGAAATTTCAGTTGCGGCACAGCTCATCTAAGCATAGAAAAACACACATAGAATATACAGATACGGGAGGAAGGGACATCTGAGGCCTTGCTGCCGTAAAAAGGGGCTGCCCCCTTATAGTAGGAAGATGCTGGTGAAGGTTCTCAGTCATCCAGGCCATAGTCATTCCGGAAAAATTAAAAACAATCAACTGGACTTGGTTTCCAAGTTAAAATTTGGAAAACAAGTCCAGTGGATTGTTTTTAATTTTTTCGGAATTTATGTTAGGAAAAAAGGGATTACAATAGGTGAGGACAGGGAAAAAAAAATCAGATTTCATAGTTTATCCTTAGCAGGATACAGTTTGAGATTCCAAAAAAAAAACCCTAATCAAAACCCCATTGCAAAAGCCAACACAGATAACGTGACATCTTGCTGGATGAAAGGTATGGAAGGATGACAGGTGCGTGAATCATATGTGAGCAGTGTTTGTGCAAAGTAAGTCCATGAAACCCTGGGTCCTTGACAGATGTAACAATTCGTCATCCGACCAACAAGGTGGCTTCACAGATGTTTCAGGATTTAAAACTTAATAGATTCAAACAGAGATAAAACTTTTTTGGGCAAAAGTCAGACACAAAATCTTAAAGCTCAAACTTGTTTATACCAACTGAGGTTGTTTTTGATCATAACCCTCAAATAAAAATGTAAGTTGTGGTCAGAAAAAGAGTTTATCCTTAGTGTCTATTTTGGTTACCAAATACATCTTTCATTGAAAGTAAAATAAAAGTAAAAAAATGAAAGAACTTACGGTGTAAATGAATGTGGAGCTGACCTAGTTCTGCCGTAGAAGTAAACATCAAGCAGTTAGTGGGGAAAATCATTTTAAAAACATGTAACTGACTGATAACCTTTAGGCGAACACAACATGATTGATTTCTCAATAAGAAAAAACTAAACAAAAAGGGGGGGGGGGTTGGTCGACCTATGTTTGAAAAACACTGCTGACCCGCTATTTTAAGTGGGAAGGTGGCTTTATAAAGTTAAATCCAGTCATGTTGCACACGTGGTTCTGCCCCTCATTCAGTCCTTCAGTGTGACTTCATTCAGTTCCACGTTGTTGTTTTTTTTATTTTTTTTTTTTAAATAAACCCACACAGATCTACATCTTCTATCTGACATATGGCTGCTGTGAGGAAACAGGAAAAGTGTGTATTTCAATCCACCAAAAAAAAAAAAAAACTCAACAAAATCCTCAAAAAAATAAAGCTTAAAAATGTAGTCATCGGGTCACAAAAGAGATCAAATGAATTTTCCTCTACCAAAATAGAATTCTAGAATATTAAGGACCCAGAAGGTTCCTAAACAGAACAGAAATAACAGAATATCAATACTAACTAAGAGCCAAATGATCTTCTTCCATTTATCCATCAGGGTCTGGGTCCCTGGTGCCTATCACAAGCAGTCTTTGGGCAAAGGGTGGTGTTTACACCTTGGACAGGTCCCCAGTCCATCTAAGGATAGCAAAGAAAAACAACTATGGACACACACCTAAGAGCAGTAAAGAATCCCTAATCAACCGACACCAGAGAACAGGGAGAGGATGCACCCAAGCATGCACAGGGAGCAAAGTCCAAGCAGAAAGACCCGAGGCTGGCATTCAAGCTTAGGACCTTCTTACTGCAAGGATAAAGTATGAAAAAAAAGAAAAATAAACAGGATACATTTAAAAACAAAAGTGTGCTATTATGTGCATGCTTCAACAAAAATATCAATGTTATATTAAATTCATTAATGAATTACATTTTTAAACATTTTTAATTTATTTTAACAAATAATAAAGTGAAAGTGTCTGATTCCGTCTCAGCTGTAGAAGGCTGAACCGTATTTCTCATGAGTTATGTGAAAAAATACAAACACATATACAAGCATATTATATTTTCAGTACCTTCTTATCTCAGATAGCCAGAAGCTAAGGAATTATATTCAATACAATGCTTGCAGAGCACTTACATTCAACATGTATGAAAGAGAAAACCCAGAAGAGTCTGAGAGGCTTCATTATACTTTCATGTGACATTTTACATGTGGGTGCCCCAGATATCGTAGACGACAGCTCAGCGGTCCTCTCAAAACCAGAGGAAGAAAGGGCTCAGTGAGCCAAAGTAGTACAGGAATAAGAACTGGATACCAATGAGGATTAAAGCAATATTAGTTCCAGCTTGTGCTCTTTATCAAAACTTAGTGTTATTTAGATTTGCTACAATAGTCATCTGTGCTTATCACTACAATTTTGCTAAAATGATGCCTGCAATGGAGTTAGTTCTAATGCAGGATTTGTTTTCTATGTGAGTCTTTAAAACATGGAAAATACAGCAGGAAGATATTATACCAGCTGTAACAGCTGCTGTTTAAGAGGGATTACATTACATAGAAATAAATGGTGCCTCATGTCCGATAATTATTCAGTTTTAAGGCCAAGGGAGATTTATTTGTGGTGTTGCTTATGATGGCAGGCTATAATGAAAAACATTTAACAGTTTTAGTTAAATAATCTCATTTCCAAAGTGTTAAAATGGTAAATATAATCAGATTTAAATCCAAATAGCAAAAATCCCTAAAAGTGTACATAATAAAATCATAGTCTTTTTGTTTTTAAAAGGTAGAAATCATTTTAAAGTACATTGTCTGTGCAGTAAGTGGGCATGTTGCAGGAGGAACGAATAAGACATATAAAACAGCTTCTGTCCGTGGTGTTAAAATAAGCAAATTGCATTTGCTACTATGTTTAGAAATGGCGGTAAAGAAAGAAATGGTTTAAAGACATTGAGTTGTAGACAGTAGTTCTTCTCCAAATGATGAAAATAATAGTAATTATGATTAGTATTCAAATTTTACTTTACATTTATAGACAAAAGTAATAAATAAAAAGACAAATATAAATATAATTGGATAATAAAGATAGAATATTAATCATAAATCTTAAAAGCAGGACAACCTTGTCTGCTCCCTGGTTTCAAACCCCCAGACAGAGAAGGAGTCTTGGTCAGATTTAAAAGATTTAGGTCAAAACTGCTGGATTTAAATCACAAAACCTGCTTGACCCAAATTACTATCTTCATACAACATAAATGTGCTTCATATGGAGCTCATTAAGTTAACATGGGGGAGAAAAAAAATGCCTTTATTTTCAACTTAATGATGAAAACTTTTTAGGGAAACTTGGAAGTGTTTCAACAATTTTGAACTTGTTTTTAAACTTGCAAATCTTTTGAAGAATAAGCCAAATGTGTGTTGTTGTTTACAGCTTTAAAGAAAAGATAATTATATTAAACAAAATTTAAAATGTCTGTGTGGCTATTTGCATGCAAAACACAAAAGCGGTTGTATGTAACAGTTTATCTCAGAAGAGAGAGTCAGCAGCCAGACCATAAAGGAAACAGCAGGCATTGTTAAATACAAAAAAACAAAAACAAAAAAAAACTTATAAAGTTTGTTTTTCACACTAGTATTTACTGACAATCAGATTATTTTATGGATTAAAAGTAAAAAACCCCCTGCTTAGTTCAATCAATGATGATGGAGCTGCAGCAGCTGCAGCCATGTTTAGTCAGTCTCTTAGAAAAATAAAAAACTTGGTAATGCTTACTTCCCCCTTTTCCTTTAAAATGTCTTTGGCATCTTTAGCCTTTATTGAACAGAATTCTGATAGGAAATGTTGTCCAGACGTGAGGACTCCCACCTGGGATGACCACCCCAAATTTGATCATCCCAGCATAACAGCAGCAACGCATGAGTTAGCATAGCTGTTGCTGCTGTGTGTTTTACTAATACTGTTTGGCAACATCTATCCCAGAGAACATTTTTACCACAACTATCCACACATGGTTGCTCCAAAGGTCCACTGTTTAGGTTTCCACAAACTTTGAAAGTTTTTTAAGCCTTGATAGAGACAGTAATGATAATGCTCATAAATGTTATTTTGAATGCACTTTTCATTCCAAAGAATGTCCTACATTTAAAATTAAAGCATAAAATAATACAAGGGTAAAATTTGCATTAAAAGCTATTTTATACAAGAATGTCTCAAGAAGGGCTTAAAAGAATACAAATTCTGAACTTCTCTCAGCCCTGGATGGGGAACTTCCTAAAGCAATGTTGTTCCAGTTCCTAATTAAAAAGCTCAAAGTTCAGTTCACACAGATGAAAATGAACTGGCTCACATTCATACTTCAGTTTTTCAAAAATTTGTTCTATAACCTCTAAATGAACTTGTTCAAGTTAATTTGGTAAATTAAGCCACAATCCTCCACAATAGAATCTGGTATTTCCCCCTTTAAATGTGTGATCATAATATATAGAAAGAAATGGAAAATACTGGATGCAGTGAATGAATACTGGATGTGCAGTGAAGCCTTTATTTAGCCAAATTGCACAAAACTTCAGAAACATACAGGAACACTCAGGTTCTGCTGAAAAGATCTGGATCCAAAATGATTTCTTCCATTCCTCATTCAGTAGCAGATATTTCCCAAGATAGCTCGGATGGTTAACACTATGTGTGGCTTTAAATTTGAAGTGGTCATGGCTGAGGTACAGGCTTGTTTGTTAAGTCCTGGTGATCACTGATTTTTTTCTGTCCCAGTCTTCTTTTGTTAGTTGATCAAACTCTGCCAAACACTCGGCTAAACTGGCATCAGAAATACCAGCAGATGAGTCTGAATGGAGCAGAATAGTTCTAGCAGTAGACATGCTGCTCTGTCAGGCTGTTTATTGTAATAAGTGCCGTAAACCTGACGTTATCCAATGAA